GAACCTGCCGGCCCCCGCCCCCGCCCCCCCTGCCCCCCCCCGCCCCATCAGGGCTGCCATGTCTACAGCACTTACTGTGTGCCGGGTATGGTTTCGGCATTTTGTGTCTGTTGGCCTGTTTTCCTATTTACTACATTCTCCGAGGTGAGCGCTATTATTTCCATCCTTTCCATTTTACAGGTGAGGAAGCCTGAGTGACAGAAAGCCTGACAGCTTGGCGGAAGGCACAGTAAGAAGCGGTCAGCAAGGGTGCTAGCCCAGGCACGGCGGATGCAGAGCTTGTCTCAAAACCCCTAGGGACTATCAGTCCTCTTGCAATCCAGCCATATGGACCTCCTTTACGTTTCTGGGGATACATGGCTTCCTTTCACCCCTAGCCTTCACGAACACCAGTGTCTCATCCAGCATATTCTCCTACCCTCTACCCAACCTCAGCTGCCCCTGGGCCTCCTCCTGCCCATCCGCCAGGACTCGGCCAAGGCCAGCTGCCCTACCTGGTGCGCCCTCCTCTCTCCGTGCACCCCCTGCCCAGGGCCCAGGGCCTTCACCTGCTGGCCCACTTGCTGCCTCCCATTCTGGGCTCTGTGCAGCAGAGGGCGAGGCCACACTGCCCCGGGACTACCATGTACACAATGCCGGCAACTTGGCATGAGTTCTGTCGCTACTGCGTAATAAGCAGATAAATATATACACACGTTAATGAATATTGAATCATTTTTGTACCCCAATGGCTTGGCCCCTAGCAGGCCTCCTCCAAAGCTGCTGAGTAACTCAGTGGACAGTCTTATTCCAGAATTTATTCTTTTTTATAGCTTTCCCCCTGTCTTTGTTTTCAAAGAAAGACAACCAAAGAACAGAGATTAAGAATGAGGTAGTTTCCATAAGGGAAGGGTAAGAGTCAGTCATCCAGATTTTTCCTTCAACTTCAATTTGGAAAAAAAAAAAAGAAAAAGAAAAATATCCCTGAGGTCATCCTAGAAACTTGAAGCATTCAAGCAGCATGAGCCTTGGTCCTGTGCTTGTCCACCTTTGGGGCTCCTCCTGGGGCTCAGAGCCGGCACGGCAGGCCCAGGGACTCTGCTGGGGTGCAGAAGGCTCTGCACAGGCGTGAGCTGATTGCTCCCCAGCCACAGGGAAGTGGCTGTTCTGGGCACTTCAGGAAGTACTTGCTCCGAGAGGCCCTTCCCGCTATTGTTGTTAGGGCCCAGCGTACTGGGCTGGCACAGGGACAGGCGGCCTCTCCAGGCCAAGGGTCTGTCTAGGGGCTGGGGACCGGAAGGAGGGGGGCTGGGGAGATACTATCCAGCAAGGAGCCCTGGGCTTTGCCTTCTGCTCCTGCTGCCCTTAATGCCAGCAGCCTCCTGCCTCTGTGTCATTTCTGTCCCCACGGCTGTACCCAGCACTGACGAGTGGTAAGCCAGAGGCTTCGGTGCCATCCTGGCTAGGCCAGCGAGCGCTCTCTAGCACCATGAGAGAGAACAGGCTTCAGAGTTCAAGGCCCTGGGCTTGAATGCTGGCTCTGCCCCATACAAGCCCTTGGGCACTCTGTGAGGCTTTGGGGACGGGACAAGCTGAGATTGCCAGGCCTGTCCGTACACAGCACAGCAGGAAGAGGCTAGCTCCCGCCTCCTCTGGTAGCTGGGCAAGGAAGAGCCGTGTGGGAGGGCACAGGGAGCAGGTGGCACATTCCAGGGGCTCCCTCCTGCCCCAGGCTGCACACCCGGGCCAGAGCCCTCTGCAGCCAGAAACCTCCAAACCATTGTCCGGCTTCTTCGCTTGGCCCTGCCCATGACTCCTGATTGAACCAAGGGAAGCCTCCGCTGTGCTCCAGTGACAAAAAAAAATAAGGATGACGAAATACGTGTCTCTCAAGGCCACTGGCCACAGAGAAAGTCCAGGCTCCTAGATCTGTAACCCAAATCCTTGCCAGGATTGCAGACCGTCTCCTCCTGTCCCGGGAATGCTGGCAACACCAGGGCCACTCCCCACCTGCCTGCGGCTCTGCTGCCCTGGGCCCCAGCTCAAGGCCACCAGGCCCGCTGCTGAGGCACAAAGTACCAGGGGCAGAGAGAGTCATGGGCGCTCAGTCCTGGCACCCTGGCCCGCAGCGAGCAGCCAGCATTCATCCTACACCGTGTCGGGGCTGCTCAGGCCCTCCACGCTGGGTCTGCACAAACACAGATGAGGGGGTTCTGCTCACCCCCTACTCCTCCAGAGAAACTGGGTCTCAGAGAGCTCAGTTGCCAGACCCAGGCCACAGAACTGAGCTGCAGACACAGTGTGAACCCATTCCTGCAACTGGTGGCCCACTGTGTGGTGGCCAGGGCTGGACGAGGGGCTCAGGTTCAACTTTTCCCCACCCTAAAAGAGCCAGGCACCATGGCAGGACCTGGGGCCTCACTAACCAGGAGGCTGGGGCAGGAGGATTGTGACCCGGTGAGAGCCTGGGCAAACTCTCCCTCCCCTGCCACACTCCACTCCGTGGACACGTTACAGCAGAGGGGTAAGATCTGGGCAACTCGGAGCCCTTCCTGTGAGGGAGGGGGCCGTGGCCGGAAGTCCCTCTCCCAGGGTGACTTGGGAGCTGCACCCTCCCCCTACCCCACCCCCAAACTAAGTATATATATTATATATATTTAACATATATATGTATTTTTTAATGCCGAGCTAAATTTGAAAAGCAAACCAGGGGTCTCGGTGCTGTGCATAGGGAGTAGGCAGGAAGCATGACACTGTCAGCTTCTCCCTCTCTTCAGTGGCTGGGAGTATGAGCCTGGCCTGGCCTGTGTTCCTCTCTGCTCCTTAGGCTCCTCATCTACAGAGGGAGAAGTTGAAGCGAATTTGGTTTCCGCTGAGATCCCGTCCAACCCCGGCACTCCCGGATCCCACAGAGCCACACTGTCCATTGAGCATCTCCCAGGTGGAGACAGCGAGCTCTCCGTGATAGGCTGACAGAACAACCGCAGCAAGGCGGTGGAGCCCCGGCTACCTGCCAGGCTCCAGGCTCAGCACTTCCGCCTGTATCGTCTCACTTAACCCTCAGAACAGCACTGAGCGCAGTGCCAGCACACCCTGTCCCTCCCAGGAATCTAGGGCACCGAGCAGTGGTGCGGATCTGCCCGGCCTCTCCCAGGCAAGTGACAGAGCTGGGGTTTGAACCCAGATGTGTCTGTAACCCAGGCATAATCCCTCACCATCCCTCCACGGTGCCTTGGAACACCAAGGACGCACGCCGGGAGCAGGCACTGCCGGGTTTCGCTCTCCCCACTGGCTGTCCATCGGCAGCTTTTGTCCATCCCAATCATCAGTCACAGTGTGACTTAAATAAGGTACAAAGGAGTCTCCAGATGCCACATGTGGCCCCAGCAGTTCGCTGCCCATGACCCTTCCTGGAGGCTTTACAGCAACCTCAGCCAAAAACCCAGTTTGAAAATACCTGATCCCTTGGGACCAGCAGATGGAGTAATGGTTACGTTGCTGGATTCCCACATAGTCAACCATGGTTCGAGTCCTAGACCCAGTGACTTAAAACTTGTGCCAGGCGAATGTGTGTGCATGCCCAAAATCCTGAGAGAATGGAGGAGAAGGGATCGTGGCGTGGTCCCCTCTGGGGAGTGATTTCTCACTTTCTGTCTCTGTCTCGCTGGTAAGTACATGCACCCTATAGTAAAAATCCCCCTCTAAAAGAGAAAAGACAAGACCAGATCCCGATGGAGGACAGGCTCCCCTTATTTAGTAGGAACCCCCAAGGCTGACCTGGCGGCCTGGCAACTCTATTTTCTCCGCACTGGAAAGCCAAGTACTCAGGCTGAACCGGCTGGGAGACAGGAGAACACAGACAGCAGAGGAAGTCCCGTGACTGTTCCTAGGGGGAAGCAGGCCATGGCCACGGCCCAAGGTCCCTCTCCCTGGGATAACTAGGGAGCTGCCCCCTCCCCACCCCACCCCACCCCCAAACTAAGTACACCAAGAAACCCTCAGAAGCAGCCCAGCCTGCTTTTTCAGGGAGGAGAAAAGAAAGGGAAGCCCGGGGCTGCTTGCATCAGGAGGTGGGTGAGGAAGTCACAGACCAGCACCGGGCAGACAGACGTCACTGACCTGGGAACAGAAAGTGTTGCCCCTGTGTGCTGCCTGCAGGCAGGACCCCCCGCCGGAGCACTTCCCGCCACTGGAAAGGTACCTGGCCAGGCTGGGACGCAGGCAGAGTGGGACTAAGAGGGACTTGCTATGGAAACGCCGGGCTGAGAGGCCACCGCTGCAGCCATGGCCCCGCATTGCTCCCCACCACCCCCCGGGGTTTGCTCCCTGCA